CAATAGCCAGTCCACGGAGAGAGCTGCCTCATCGCTGGAATAAACCAGAAAGCTGTGCCATCAATTCACTGCTTCCCCGAGTGATTTGTGTTATAGCTGGAGAAGTGCAAAACAGGCCGCTCCTGCTCCACTCCTGCAGAGGGGACATCTTAGAATATCATAAACAAAATGTATTTGTTGGGGGTGGGAAGATGGCTCAGCTGTTCTAAGTGTTTGCAGCTCTTGGCGAGTTCAGTTTCCAGCACCCACATGGGTACCCTCACCGTCACTTCTAACTCCAGCCCTCTCTGGGCTCTGTGGGCTTCCTAATGTTTGCACACACACACAGACACACACACACAGACATACACAGACACATGCACACGCACACACACACACACACAGACATACACAGACACATGCACACGCACGCACACACAGACACACATGCAGACACACACACACACACACACACACACACACACACACATTTTTGTTGTTTGGAGACAGAGTGTCCTTACATAACCCTGGCTATCCTGGAATTCACTATGGAGACCTGGTTAGTCTCAAACTCAAAGAGATCCACCTGCCTCTGCCTCCCAAGTGCAGAGATTAAAGGGTGTGCCACCATGCCCGGCTCATGTAATAATTTTCTAAAATGCTACTCCTGGGTAGAGAGGTGATTTCATTTGGCACTTTACAGCTTACACATACAAATAACTGGGAGGTACTTCATTTAGTGTCTGAAATGCAATTCATCCTAAAAGAACCTCTCACAAAGGTTATCGCCAATAACAGTGAAGAAATGCAACACACAAAAATGTGGAGGGAACCAGCAAAAAACCAGAAGAGAAAGACAATCCCAGTCCAGTTCATTTACCTGCATTTAGAGTATGATTTAATATGAACGCAAGCCAGTATACACATATTTACATTGAATATGCAAGAAAATAGTAAGTAATGGAGCAATGGGAGGGATGGCTTGAAGAAATCTGTGTACTGAAGCACCATAGCTTATAGAAAACACAATAACACCTGAGGCTACAGATGTAGGTCAGTAGCCTGAATGCTTGCTCAGTGTGCAGGAATCCCTGGGTTCCATTTACACCATAGAAACTGGTTGGTGTCACACATGTGTACCCCAGTTCTGGGAGATAGAGGCAAGCGGGTCAGGAGTTAAAAGGCATTCTTGGCTACAGTTGGGGGCCAGCCTGAGCTACTTTAGACACACACACACACACGCATGTGCACACAGAAAATTAAGGAAAAATGCTACTTGTGTTGGTATTTTAAATGGTAGATATGCTTACTAATTTAAAGCTACAAAATCAAAACAAGAAGTAACTGCACTATTTAAATTCACTCAAGAAAAACATAACATAACATATTACCGTTGCCCTATTTTTTTTTTAAACTTTCTCCACTCCTATTTCCCTCCCCCTGAAATCAGTGTTTTTAGAACACAATTTCCAAGGCTCCCGAGTAACACACAGTCAAGTTTCTGAGGACAAACTGCCACATGGGGATGTGCAAACCACTGCTTGAATCGCATGAACTTGGATACAGATGCTGCCAGGAAACTGTTCTGATATTTACAGCAATGTTTATTAATAAGTACACCACCAGTACTTCTCAAAAGATAAACACTTAGCAATGGCATAATTATTCACCTTATTCATGAAAGCATAGCATATGAAATATTAGAACCACGAACCAGTCACTGTAGAGTCTTAGCCTCTTCTTTATTAGCCCTACTGCCCCTTCCCACGTCTTTGGACTCCAAGGTAGCAAATAGAGCAAGGTGAGAGAGCCAGAGGGGGAGAGCTAGCCTGAGCTAATTTAGAGTCTTGTGAAAAATCAGTGTTTTCCAAAGTGCGGGAGCACTTCTTTCTACCCCAGGAGAGGTCTGGAGGAGGAAAGGCTTTAGTTGCCACTGCCCAACTCAAAACTGACCCTGCCGGGGCCCTCCAAGGGCATGGGGCCCCAAAGAAAAGACATCGCCAAGAAGGCAGGGGCTTTACCTCCGGGAAGTGGCCAAGGGGCTGAGCAGGGTTGCAGCAGACTCCTCTTGGCACGGTATAGTGAAATGGAGAGGCAGTTCTCCAGATCACAGCCGGGGCAGGGACAGCCCCATCTCCATAGGGATGACAACACAGGCCCGCCACCACGCCCCACTCAGTGCCGCACTCGAGTGGCCAGCCTCGGTCTTTGCTGCAGGAGGGCTCTTACGTCTCCTTACTTAGGTTTTCTGAACAAGTTCTGGGTGGTTTCTTTAGCAGGCGGTGGGAGGCAGTTGCTGTCCGACCTCCAGGGTCTTGAAAGTCGCTGGGAGGTGACAGACACAAAGCTGCCATCTGTCAAGAAAGGCTTAGACACTGAAGCGAAGTTTGCTTAGCTTTACACAGCCAGCAATGATGACGACCTATGCTGGTAAGGGTGGCGTTTTCTTAGCCTTTCTCATGTTCCTTAGGAAACTTCAGAGTTTTTTTTTTCTTACCAGAATCAGTTGTGCAGGAGTTAGACGTACGAACACCAACATGTTTCTGCATTGATCAAAATGCCTTTGTCTATTGTGACGCCTCCCTCTCTCCACCGCTTCTTTGTACTTAACATGGCTAATTGCACAATAATTAAGGATGGGAAAGCTAACAATCCTATGAATGGGGGCTGAACAAAACCCAAGTATGAAGCCTGAAAGGAAACACATAACGAAGTTAAAAAACAGTTTGCTCTATACTAGGTTTTTGAAGATCATCTGTAATTCGATTAAAAAAAAAAATGCAACGATTCTAACAACATCCATGTTAAAAGAGTGGCCTTTATATATCAAGGAAATGTAAATTAAAATTGAGATTATATCTTATCTTAGTCAGAATGGCTGTCATCGGACTATCGCTGCTGAGGAGAACAAGGGGAAAGAGGAATCTTCACCCACTGTGGCGGGAATGTAAACTGGTGCAGCCACTAGGGGAATCTGTGTGGAAGTGTCTCCACAAGCTAAAATTAGAACTACCATATGACCCAACTGTACCACTTCTGGGCATACACTCAGAAGATTCTACAGCGCATCACAGGGATACCTGCTGCTTAACTGACAGCCACGAGGAAATGAAACCAGTCTAGACATTTTCTGGAAAGTGGATGGAACTGAAGAATAGGATAGAGAGGTAACCCAGACTCAGAAAAGCTTCTTTCTCTCTTGTGTAGACGCTAGAAGCACATCCTTTAGGTTTGTAAGTTTTAGGTGAGGACGCAGGGCCCGGGAGGCCTTAACCGGGGCGAATGCACAAAACAGATGTGACAAGGGAATGGGTGGGTTCAAGTGTTTCAGCAGGAGTGAGGGTTGGGGTGTGAGGGCGAGACAAACACAATTAAGGATGTATGAAAAGGTCAACTGCTTTGTTAACAAACTTTAAGATATTTTTAAAAGGAGTTTGAACAGAGGTATCTTTAACGGACAATGTTCCCCCAGAAGACAGGGTTTTTAAATGAAAATCTCATTGTCAGGTATGAGACACTTCCCTATGAGTTATAGGTCAGAAAGAACCCAGAGGTTCCCCCAAATAACACAAGTTATCACTATTGTTCTTGGTTATCCACCATAGCTAAAAGTTAAAGCCCAATTGACAAATACATAAAGAAATGTAGCTAGTTGCTACAGCGACAGACGGTGTTATATTGTCTGCCTATCAACAGACTATACACTATACTACTACCCTGCTAAGCAATAACTGCCTACTGGTGTAATAATAGCATGACTCTTTCGGAGTAACCAACCGCTTTTGGATTGGATTTCAACCCTGCTACAAAGGAGGGAATTCATGTGTTGTACTGAAAACCTGGTCAAAAGCCCATGACGGGAGAAGCATGGGTCCTGCAGGAGTATTGACTGTTGTGGTCTAATTGTTTCCTAAATATTGGTAAACGTTTCCATCCTTAGATTAGTGCTATTCTTAACTCTAGTCAGGGAAGCTTTGCTCTACAGTGGGCGGCAACCTCAGGTGTTGAGAGTAATTAACTTTGAGTATTCAGCCCTGAACAAGCCAGCTCTATCACGTCCCCCAAGGCTCAGGGAATATCACGGAAAAAGCAGCAGAAAGAATGTAAGAGTCGGAGGAAGGGAGGGATGCTGTGAAATGCCATCTTCCAGACATGACATGGTGATTGCACTGACGGGCTCAAGCCGGTCAATATTCCCCATGCAGGAGAGAGGAGCTCATGAGGCACCAGTCACCCCTAGCTGAAGAGCTATTCACAGCTGACGGCTGTTAGGGGAGTGGGAGTCGGTTTTCTTTAGGGGCATGTCTGCTTGTAGGCTGCCCATGGATGGCCCCAGGGCCATGCCCATGTGGTCCACTAACTGGACCCCGTGAGGCATAAAAATAAAAATCAACAAGGACATGAATGTGGCAGAGGGAAGAACTACGGGGTTCAGGAGGACTGGAAGGAGGGTGTTGGGGTGGCATAATCAAGGCACAATGTATATTCATGAAATTGTCAAGAATTTAAAAAAGTAATTTTTAAAAAGAGGGTGACTGGTGTAGTTTAATGACACTGTTTCCTTAGCGCTCCTGAGTCCGGGGCGTGACCCTCATCACTGAAACAAAGAAGTGAGGGGAAGGTAGTGAGGCTGTATCCCCCGAGCTTTCCTGGCATTAGCCTCATGCTAGGCGTCTTTCGTGCATTTCTATTATCCTCACACAACCACCACCAGCCGGTAATTCTCACATGCTACATTGAAATGTAAGGTGAACTCAGCCCGTTAGAAAGCTAAGGGGAACTCGGCCCGAGTACACACACGCTAGAAAGCTAAGGGGAAGAACGGGCATCCAAATCAGGCTCAAACTTTACAGCCATGCACTTTCATTAAACAGTATTTAAATGCACAAAGGCACAGAATTTGCAGAGACGGCACAGAAGCCTCACATTATATACACATGGTTTCCTTTGGAGGACTGAACCCTTGTTTCCAGACAGAAGGAAGACTACCGGGTCTTCCAAACAGACAACAGAGACAATCATTCAAAACAATCACTTTATTAAAAATAGCGAATCTCACAAATACTTATTAAACATTTGTCACTGGCCATTGGGGAACACACCTGCGTGTGTACTGATTGTCTGACGTAAACTGAAGCTGGGCTGCCGCAGGAGGCCTGTGCATCACCAACGTGTGACCAGAACTGGGTCAGTGTGGTGACCGCAGGAAGGACAATTCCTTCAGCCCTACCGAACGTTTAGCACAATGCATTTCAAGTATAACCCTTAAGGCAACAGAAGAAAACACAGCAGCATAGCCCAGCATCCCGCTCCTCAAGGGCCCTGCAGTCAGGCCACGCCCCTCAGCAGTGAATGACAGCGAGCACATGGACTAGAAGCGGCGTGAGCACAATTGCTGCACTTGTACTCCATCACTTGAATTATGTTGTGGGGATGATTCTGCTACTGGACTCGGCGAAAGCAACGACGGCTGCTTCTCTGCAAACCCCCTGAGCAGGCTGCACACTGCCTTAGCCGGTAGACGGATTGGGTACATCTTGCGCGTCTGCCAAATGCAGCTTCTGTCTGAATCCATCAGTTAAGGTGGTTTTCATTTCAGAGTGAGTACTTCTTGTACATTTCAGGAATTTACACTTAGTAACTGGGAAACAGAAGCAATGGGATAAAGAAAAGGAGGGAGGGAGAGAGGGAGGGAGGGAGGGAGGGAGGGAGGGAGGAGTGGAGGCTTCAAGGGAAAGCTGTCATGTTGCCAACATGTTTGGACCGTAGTTCAGTGCAGAGAAAAATGCTATGTGTATAATTTGAAGCTTAAAAACATTTAGGAGTTCTGCAGTCTCAAAGTCCAGATCCTCAAAGTCAAACATGAAATATTTATCACAACTCTGGAATCTTTTATGTAATCTTAATCATCCTTCAAGAAAACTGTGAATAAAAAAGGGCTTCCGCATGAGTCCTCGTCCCCTCTCCCGGCTACCGCTCATTTCCTCGTCGTCCTAAACTGTGTGCTGTCGCCCACCTTTCCAACAGTGACCGGAGCACACTGAGGGCAGCTGCGACCAGCGGGGCTCACTGGCAGAGTACAAAGGCACACAGACAGAGGCATGGCCGTCCAAAGTACTCTTGTCTACTTGGGGGTTCGAGACTTAACACACGGAAAAATCATCACACAGAAAAGCAAGGCAGAGCGTCAGCTGACAGGGGCAAATACTTGATGGAGTGGTGAGCAGGAGTGACCCTGTCTGACAGAGAGGGGGGGAGAGCAGGCCAGAGTGTCTGCATCAGAGCCAAGCTGAGCAAAGGACATCACGGGAGGAGTGAACAGGACGTGCTCCAAGCCAGAGAACACAGCTTAGTGGGAACAAGAACTCTCACATGATATATATGTTGTAAGCACCTGGAAAAAGTCTATAAAAAATTGATGATGGTAAAAAAATAAAATAAAAAAGCATTGGCAAGAGTCAATGTATAAAACCAGAGATACGGGCAGTGAGGCAGGATAACTCCTGCAAGTTCAAGGCCAGCCTGCGCCACACAGTGAGTGCTGGGCCAGCCTGAGGTGTAGAATGTGATCCTGGTTGAAAAGCAAAACAAAACAAGAATCAAAGATAAAAAAATGTTTTAAGAAAATTAATGCCAATGTCTGAAGTACAGAGTTTTGAAAGTTCCTATCACTGAGTTAAAAGGAAAAACAGGTGACATTAATTTAAATGTTTCTACTTAGATATATTAAAATTTAAAAACTTTTAATCTACTGTGTGTAGGTGGCCATGCCACTGGGCATGTGGACAGCTTTATGGAGCCCACTCTCTCCCTTAACCTTCCTGAGTCATGGTGCTAAAACTGTGTAACAAGCACCTGCTGGCTCTATCGAGAAATAATTTATTTAAAGTTCAAATCAGGCCTGGTAGACATGTGCACCTGTAACTCCAGTACTTGAAAGGCACAGGCAGGGGATGCTTATGATGCCAGCCTAGGGTATCTAAGGGAGATCTTGTCTCAAAATAAAATACCAGCAGCAATGGTTTCAATGAGCAATCCTAATTGAAATGTTTCATGTTTGATTTTTTTATGTACGAAATGTACTGTCCTTATTACAGTCAAAGTATATTTTAATTCTGACCTGCTAAACATGTCATATGCTCAGTAGCCATAGAGTTAGGGGCTTCCATGTTTAATTGGAAGCTCAAGTCAGAACATAAAATCAGTACACTGAAGAATCGGGTTCTGAGCACCTGCAGCGTCGTGTGGAGAAAGAAGGAAGGCTTGAAGCAGACGTGGTAAGAGCCGACACTCGGCAGGAAAGACAAGTGGGACTCATAATCATGTCCGAGCTGAAGGCAAAACACAGACTTAACTGCTGTGGCCCACGGCTGAGCAGTCAGTAACAGCGTAAAATACAGCAGTGTTCAGATTTGCTGCTCTACCCTCGCATGTGCTATGTAGTTTACAAATTTCCTCATACATCCCATTACACAATACATGACCGCTGCTGGTGCTGAACAGGCCCCTGAAGCTGTTAAAGAACACGTGGACTGTGACATTACTAAGTGTGAACATCTCAGAAGTCCCATCTCGTGTCATTACCGTGTTCAAAGAGAGAGTGTCCTCACATAAAAGCAGGTTGAAGGCAGGGTTGTTTCCTATTATTGTGTATTAGCAATCATGTTGACAAATACATGAAAAAATAGAAAAATTCCTTAAGTCATTGTTTCAGACTGAAATATCAAAATCAAAATAACCTACCTGTGACTTGGTGCTTTCCTCCATGCTAATTCTACTGCACTAGCTTTGGCACGGAGCTGCCACTTCACAAGCTGTGGAAGGACCCCTTGAATACTGTGCTTTAGCGCAGATGGATTTCAATTTTATGCACCTTAAGTAATAATATTAAGTATATCTTTGGGTACCTGCCAGGTTAGTTCCAGAATCTAAGAGTCAAAATAATTCTTATAGTCCAATATGCAATTTTCATGACTTGAAAAGTAATAATTAAATTTGTTTTGAAAAAGTAAGTGAACAATATAAAACAACCAACCAGACACGAAATTTCAGCATGCAAAACCACGAAACAATCTGATTTGGAAACTAAAAGAAGAGACATAGCCCTAGTAAATAAAGTAAGATATGGCAGAAATTATTTACCCAGAACTATAGATTATGAACTTTACACTGTTTGTAGTAGGCAAAGGATACATAGAAGAATTCAATTCTTCTAACTGCAACACAAAGAAACAAATTGAATATTAATTTTTACAAGATAAATATTAGTAGGTCACTGTTAACCATGTTTTAAAATAGCTTTATGTAGGTGTTCCTTTAACTGAAAGAAGAAATTATTTAAAAAGTTCTGAAAAAGTTTTCTAGGCTGGGAATTCCTTTGTACAGAATAACTATCAAGTAGCTGCAGCTTAAATGAAAGACCCTGAGGCAAGAATAGAAGCAAATGCTAAAGACTAGAACTTTGGAAGTGTTCCTAGAATCACGTACAATGGCAATAATCTCTACTGTGTTTGGATTTCTTTTTGAAAGAGAATCTCACTAGACAGTGGTAGCATACGTCTTTAATCTCAGAACAGACAGGTGGATCTCTGAATTTGAGGCCCGCCTAGTCTATAGAGCAAGTTCCAGGACAGCCAGGGCTACACAGAGAAAACCTGTTTTGAAAAATCAAAAACAAACAAACAAAAAACAGAAAGAAAAGAAAAAAAAAAAAGAAAGTCTCTATATGTGATCAGGCTGGTCTTGAACTCCAGAATGCTGAGAACACAGATATGTAACCACTTGTTCTCTTAACAGAAATTGTATCATTATTGTGTGTGCAATGTTGGTTGTGTGCGAAGGCAGCACACGTGTGAATGGGGCTGGTTCTCACCCTCGGCTCTTACATGAGTTCTAGGAAATAAACTCAGGTACAGATTTCACCAGGTTCACACTGCAAGCACTTTTCCCTCCTCAGACATCTTGCTGACCCCATGACTAGCTTAAGTTTTGTTTTGTTGTTTAAATTGCCATTTCTGTGACCTTAATCTTTGAAACCTATATTATTTATAAAAATACTTACAAATATTTTAATTCTTACTATAAAGTAGAATTTATCACTCCTTGTCTTAGTCTGTTTGGGCTTTTATTTAAAACAATCATTAAATTAGCATTTTGTAGAAAAAAAGAAACTCATTTCTGATGGCTCTTAGAGATCAGCCATGTGCAATTAAGAAGCCAACAGAGCCCGAGTTTAGCTAATGGAACAGTGCCTTGTACGATGTCCTCACAAAATGGCAGCAGCGGAGTTTCTCTTTTCTGCTCCTTTTTCCTGGATACTAATCTTACTCCCGACCTAATTACCTTCCAAAGACCTGTCTCTTTTTGCACCAGGGTGAGGACTCAAAAGAATGAGTTCTAGAAAGATACAGACATCGTCCGGCAGTGGTGGTGCACGCCTTTAATCCCAGAATTTGGGAGGCAGAGGCAGGTGGATCTCTGTGAGTTTGAGTCCAGCTGGTCTACAAGAACTAGTTCCAGAACAGGCTCCAAAGCTACAGAGAAACCCTGTCTCAAAAAAAAAAAAAAAAGAAAGAAAAAAAAGAAAGATACAGACATCCAGACTACAGCATCTTTAATTTTAGAAGGAGAAATATAAAGTATAGAAATGCGGTCTGAGGCTGTAGTTTAGTGGTGGAGTGCTTGACTTGCATCCATGAAACCCTAGGCTTCATCTCCAGCACCTCAAAACTGTTTAAAAAACAAAGGAAGGTGGGCAGGTAGGCTAATGAGACTGTTCACCGTCACCAAGAGCAACACTGGTACAAGCCCTGCACTAGGCCTCCTGGTTTCAAAGTATTCTTTCTGCCAAAATGCAGTATTTTCCCAGGTGCACTAAAAGTACACAAACTAAGCTTATATTTAATGGAAATAAAGCATAGATATGAACTAAATACTTGTGACACTAAATATTATATGGCAGATCTGACCTTTAAAATACAGGTTTGACAGGATTTTTGTTTGTTTTTGAGAGGCTGACTTTGAACTCCTGTTCATCCTGCATCCACTTCCCAAGTGCTGGGATTACAAGCAGGCACTGTTAATCTTCTAGGTTTAAAGCTTTAAAAGAATGCCTTTAATCCCAGCACTTAGCAGGCAGAGGAAGTGACTCTGAGTTTGAGGCCAGCCTGGTCTACAGAATGAGTTCCAAGACAGCCAGAGCTACACAGAAACCTTGTTTCAAACTTACTAAAAAAACTCAGCAGAAACAAACTCTTGCCACTGCTGAAAATGAAGATAAGCTACGTTGAAGTCAGTTTTTATTTATTTTCCTTTCTTCTAAAAAGGTTTTGTGGATTCCTAAAGTTCCTGTGTATGCAATCTGCACATATGGAAGCCAAAGGTCAATGTTTCGTGTCTTCCTCAATTGTCTCCCACCTTACTTTTATCAGAGAGTATCTCTCACCAAACCTGGAGCTCACTAATTTGGCAAGAACTCAGGCCCTCACGCTGGTGTAGCAAGATCTTTGCCGACTGAGCCATCTTCCTAGCTGCCTAAAGACGGTTTTAAAGATTTATTTATTTTTATTTAATGGGTGAAAGTGTTTTGCCCACATATTAGCATGTGCACCACTTGTGTGCCTGGTGCCCTCAGAGGCCAGAAGAGGGCTTCAGATCCCCGGAACTGGAGCTACAGACGGTTGAGGGCCGCCATGTGGGTGCTGGGAACAGAATCGGGGTCCTCTGCAAGAGCAGCGAGTACTTTTAGTCGCTGAGTCAGCTTTTCAGCTCCCTAAAAAAGGTTTTAAAAAGGCAAATTTACAAGATGTTATGGGCTGAGTTGTGCCCCACTCCATCCCCAACTCATGTCGGTCACAACAGGTTAGAATATGTGGGTATGTGGGGACAGAACCTTTAAAGCGGTAATCAGTCAAAATGAGGTCAATGGGGGGGGGCCCTAATCCAGTGTGACCTGAACAAGAAAAGGAGACCTAGACCATGTGCACAGGAGAAGACGTCATGAGCATTAAGAAGACAACCCACAGTGGACAACTGAAACCTTAGGTGACACTTGGATCTCCAACTTCCAGCTCCTAAAACTGGGAGAAAATAAATTTCTAGTTATGGTAGCACTAAGCTGACAGACGTGGCAATGAGCTGAATTGCTGTAGGGACCAGTACTGCCCTGTATTTACAATAAGTAATCATCCGAGCAGGCAAAGGGCTTCTGACTGGTGTCTTCGATGGACTTATGATCCGCATATGAACAAGGTCTCTGTATGATACAGGCCTTATATAATGTAATATAATAATACGGATGTAAAAATGTACAGAAGCAAGTATTTCCTTTGGAAGTCTGCCAGGATTATGATAATACATGCTTCCACAAATCTAAGTTCAAGCATTTCGTAGATTATGTTTCTTTAAAGAGTCAAGTGTAACAAGAGATGAATTCTGAGGACACCACACTAAGAGAACCCCCACCCCATGAGGGCACACACTGCATAATGCCATCTGTATGAGGTGCCACAGAGGCCAGCTCATCAAGACAGAAAGTACGTGAGGGGTTGCTAGGGCATTGGGAGGACAAACTAAAGAACAGGCCTCTTTAGGGGGTAGAGAAAATGTTCTAGAACTAGATGGTGGTAATGACTGCAAAACACTTTCTATATGATCTCACATATATAGAATATATGAGTATATATAGTTAAAATTCTGATAGCTAAAATTTGAGTTGTGCTATGTGTGTGTATTGTTGCAAGAAGATGTTTTTTAAACAGAGCACTCCACTCACGTCCGACAGAAGCCTGTCCAAGTTGGCGTCACTGGCTGCTTTCCGCTTATCCTCAGGAAGTTCCTCTAACTCCCCGTAGAGCTCCAAATTCAAGCGAGCTAATTTCTCCTGCATTCCCCGGACATGTTCCATCTGTTCTATGGAACATTCATTTCCTGGGGAACATTCCAGAACATTAACAAAGATTAGTGTTAAAGCCTATAACCCTCAAGAAACAGCTTTTAAACTCCAGGTGCGCAAAAGAAATCCAGTTTCTTTGTTTGTAAATTGCCTTGCTAATAACTGTTTTCTGGGTATAATCACAAATCCTTTATTTTTTTGAGACAGGGTAGCTAAGCTGGTTCAAACTCACAATCTTCCTGTTTTGGACTCTTGTCTGTTGGGAGCAAATAAAATTATTGGCCAGGAAAACAATGGCCAGCGATGACTAAGAAATAATCCTGGGCCCTAAAATAAAATTATGCATAAAATTTTTTTAAGTAAAATCATTCCTTAAGTAGGGAGATGTGTTCTTTTTCTTCCACTGTAATACTGTATATAGAAGCAATAACCATAATTCTGTCCGTTTTGACAACTGCCAGGTGAACTGAAAAGCCAATATTTTGTAGTACTCTGAGTAAAATGAAGAATTCTCTGAGAATTTCAACCATAAATTATTTTTTTACCAGTTATATATTCTTCCTTTAGGAAATATAAATGCAAGTATTTAAAGCATAATGATTATACATTACACAGTATAATATTTTCAATCATACACAAGACAGCTTCACTAAGGCAGGGATCTCATTCTTTCTTAAGTCCAGCATGGTGACTTTACCTGCCCAGAACTAGTGTACATACACATGACATAGTCTATATCATCATCTGGTTTAAGTGCAGCCTCTGCAACCTTTTGGTATCTCAATGGAAAAAACAAACAAAAACAAAACTACTTTTTCCCCTAAATATATTGCAGAAGTATACTGTAATTCAGTTAAAGTGGAAATACAGTCAAGTGTGGCATCGTAAGTGTATATATAAGCATTTGCATCTCCTCAAGATGTGTTCCGGCGACAGGAGGAAGATGGGGAAGGAGAGGAGGGGAAGGAGAGTGGTAGAGAGGCAGAGAGAAAATGAATGAGAATAGGAATGAATGAACACAGAGATGTAGACCTAACAAAGAAAATGGAGAGGAAGACAGACCTAGCTGGCCTGCTTCACAAGAGAAAAGGGACAAAGGACTTGCTCTAAAGGACCAAAGATGAATCAACAGCTAGGAAAGGCTTAGTGATTCCCTGGAGGGAGCCATGAGAAAAGACCCAGTCCTCACATTTATCCAGATAAGTGCCCACAGTTACTGATAGAGAGGTGGTGGTGGGTTCTTAGACATTAAGCTGTAAAATAAAGTTAATGGCCCAGTAAGAAAGAAACTGACTAGCAATGGAATTTTCATGGCAACACTTACAGCCACAGGGCTGCGTGACAACGCAGGGAAGGAAGGACTTCAATCAAACACAAAGTCACCTGACCTGAAGGGAGGAAGCAAAGTAAAAGAGGTCCAGAGATTGCCCCTGAGAACAAGTGAACGGGGAAGAGAGGAAGAAGTGACAACATTCTGGGGTACCACGTTGTTGGGGTGCAGTAGAGCATGAGATGGGGGAACATGTCTGTGAAGTAAGTAATGCTTATTTATTTGGAGTCAGGGGCTCCTATGTAATCCAGCCTGGCCTTAAAGTCACGATTCTCCTGCCTCAGCCACCCCAGTACTGAGATTATAGGCCTGAGTCCTTGTCCAGTGTAAGCATTACCAAGGACTAAAGACCCAGAAACCACAAAAGAAAAGAGATGTGAGTACACAAAACTCCAGCACTTCACAGGACCAACATCTGTAGGAATAAATATATTTGGAAAAATAAGTTTAAAAAGTGTATTGTTTACGTGTAAGACATACAAAGGGCTCCTGACAATGACAAAGTAAGAAATTACCAAACTAGCCAGGCAGTGGTGGCAGTGCTTGCCTTTAATCCCAGCACTAGGGGGCAGAGACAGGCAGATCTCTATGAGTTAGAGACCAGCCTGGTCTACAAGAGCTAGTTCCAGAACAGGCTCCAAAGCTACAGAGAAACCCTGTCTTGAAAAACCAAACTAAAAACTATGTAAAAATTCTAAAAAGAGCAATCCAACTAGTAGACAAGTAGACATATAAATTAAAATTTGATGGCCATTTAAAAAAATTTCACTTGACTGACAAAAACTGACAGATAATGTCTGCTGCAGGATACTTCTATTACAAATAAAATTAGGGCTGGGTGTGGTGAGCCACTCCTCTATTTCAGCCCTTGGAACCTGGAGACAGAAGGAGGATCAAGAATTAAAGAGCAGCCTCTGGTACATAATGAATTCAAGGCTAGCCTACAATACATGAGTTCCTGCCTTAAAAAAAGGGGGGATGAGACTGTTAACTCAGTTGGCACAATGCTTGTTTAGCAGTCACAAAGATCACATTCAGTTCCCAGTCTGTATAAATACTATATAAATAGGACGTCAAATCCTAGTAGTTTGACTACTACTAAATAGTAGTCAAATCCACGTGACTACAATCCTAGCAGTTGGAGACAGGTAGCAACAGGAAAATCACAAGTTCAAGGTCATCCTCATCTACACAGTGAGTTTAAAGCCAGACTGAGCTACACAAGCCCCTGCCTCAAAAGGGGAGAAATTCCCAGTGCATGGAAAGCTGAGGCAGAAGATCATGAACTCCAGGATAGCCAGGCTATGTACAGAGCAGGACACTTTCGAAAATCAAAAGCAAATTGAACACACTAAGTCTAAATTGGTTTAACTAATAAAGACTTCCCCTATTATTTTAAATAGATAAATTATATGATATGGTTTTGTTTTTCAAAAATAAATTAGGTTGCTTTCTAAAGAAGGAAGGGGCATACAAGATCATACATAGGGATAAAGAATCTAATTTAAATAAGGACTTCAGACGGTTATTCCGTAACAGTAATTCTACTTTAACACTTCTGCTAATCTTCCCTTGTGTGTGTTCATAAGTGTGGTGTTGTATAGTATGCAGGAGTGCACCTGCATGCCGGTGTGCAGAGGCCTGAGAGGAGGATGTCAGCTGTCCTGTCCATCACTCTGCCTTATTTCTTTAAGACCAGGTCTTTCTGAGGACCTGGACCAAGGCTGACAGCCAGTAAGCTCCAGAAATCTGCTTCCCATACCTCTGGGTTCCAGGTCTGCCTGTGCCCAGCTTTTAACACAGGTGGCTGGGGTACAAACTCAGGGCCTGACGTCTGGGCGACTGTCTTACCTACTAACCCATCTCTGTGGCCCAGAAAACTCCCTTTTAAAAGTCCCCCCAAAAATTTTAGGGAGGAAATTATATTCCACGACAATAAAATCTAAAATTCTTAAACTTTGTGTCTCTATATTTTGTGGTTCTCTTCTTTCTCTTTCCCCAACACTGAGTGTGTGTTCTTGTGTATTTGTTTCTGAGGCAGGTCTCAAGTAGCACAGGTTGCCTCCAAAGTCACTGTGTAGCTGAGGATGTCTCTAAACTGTCTAGCTCTCCTGCCTCTATTTCCCGAGAGGTAGGATTAGAGATGTGCCTGGCTTTCTGTAGTGCGCGGTGTCAAACCAAAGACTTTGTAAGCACTAGGCAGTCTACCAACTACCAACAAAGCCATATACTTAGACCTCTCTGGGCATGCGTGTCCTGAGACACAGTCTTGGGTAGCCCAGAATGGCTTCAAACTCTCTATGTAGTTGAGGATGACCTTTAACCTCTAATCTTCCTGGCCTCTACCTTCTAGATACTGGGATTACAGGCATGAGTCACCACATCCAGTGTTCCTTCGCTTTTTAATAAAAGAAAAAGATACTTTGAGAGCCCCTCAAACAACTAGGTGAGTGGTAGGTGGGTGGTGCTGAAGAATGACACCCAAGGCTGTCCTCTGCTTACACACACACACACACACACACACACACACACACACACGCACACACGCACAAGAACATACCAAACAAAAGGAAGAATGAAACACTGCAGAACACGGGATGCAAACATCCTAAAGAAAAAGCATGGAGAGCGCACTGCTGTCTTACCAAACGCCTGCAGCTTTCCCGAGTGGAAATCATTTAGCAGACTGAGGAGCCCGCGCTCCATCTCCTGGACATCGGAGACATCTGTGAGGAAGGAGTGCTGGATGGGGGTAGACTGAGCCCCCTTCCCTTCTCCTCCTGGAGGCTTGTTCTTTTCTTTCACCACTCTGCAGAGAAGACACAATGGACCTCGGTTAGATCTTCCAGGCTGTTCTAGATTAAATGCCTGCTTTACTTCTCAGTTACATAAATGTACATTTCTTAAAAACAGGATATCAGAAAAGAGTCAATACTAAAATGAAGTCTGAAACCTCAAGCCAACAGCAAACGAAAACAGGTGGTGAAAAATCCCAACTATATAAAGTGTAACCACTGAGAAACAGAAAGTTTGGTTGCTATGTTTATGGCAATATGCTAATTTGTTAGACTGAAAAGGTATTGAAAGGAAAATTGGTAAATCTTTTCAGTGTCCTATTTTGCATATTTCACTTCTCAGTAAAACATACTACACATTCTACTTTTGTTTTCCAAGACAGGGTTTCTCTGTGTAACAGTCCTGGCTGTCCTGGAACTTTTCTGTAGACCAGGCTGGTCTCAAACTCACTGAGATCTGCCTCCCAAGTACTGGGATTAAAGGCCACGACCCGGCTACACACTCTACTTTCTAAATAGTATTCTTCAACTTTTTATAGCTGGGTAAGTAGTTCTGGGCTCCTGCTCTGAAGACAGTATGCCAAGAGTGCTTGGGCTTAGGAGAGAAACATTTAAAATCCAAACTCAAGCACCTGGTAGCATCCTGAATTCCACCACCTTCCTTGGGGTCCCTCATGCAGTTTCAAAGTCAGGCTGAGTAATGTAATCTAACTTCTCTATTGCTCTCCTTAGCCACTGTCACCATGTTGTATCTTAATCTAACAGCTCCCCACACCTTCCCAGATGGCCCACCTGGTCCTGTGTATGGTTGTTGGTCCCCTTTCCCTCCCTAAGAAGCAGACAAGTCCATTTCTAAATAATTCCAGGTCATATAATTTAAACCTTTAAGAGCAAAGGCTGGCCTTAATCCAATACTCTTAAGAAACCCTACTTTCCTTGGGTGTGGCTGTTCAAAACATTAATACCAATGCAGAGGAAGGAGGCAGAGGCAGGGGGATAACCAGCCTGATTTACCTAAGTCCAAGGACAATGAGGGCCATCTAGTGAGACCCAGTTTCAAATAAAACAACCAGTCAGTCCCTAACCATATTAGCCTCCTAGAAGCACAATGGCCATCTTCTTATCTGAGTCCTGGTTCTACATTCAGATCCTTCACTTCCCACCATCTTTGCCAGGCCACTGCTCACAATCCCTTCAAGCCTCAGTCTAGCTGCGATTTCCCCAGAAAGGCACATGGGAATCTTTGATTAATTCTTAACACATACATCTGCATACACCAGGCTCTCAGACACCAGGGAGATGGCGCCATGCACATCCTATATAAAAACGGGAGAAACAGGAGTTCACAAGGCACAGAGCCAGCCAGGCTTCTAAAGGTGATGCCCAAGCAAGGGTTAAAAAACCAAAGGGGTTGGTGTTATCATTAACTAGTACTGGTTCTGGATTCAGTCCTCCACCTACAGAGACTCAGTACTTGATTTTTACATCATAATGAATGAAGACCTCATCCCCACAACTATACTTACAAAGATAAGATAAATAGGGTGTGTATATATGCACATACATCTTTGTGTGAGGTTCTGGGAGTGTAAGCCCATGCATGGGGTTGGGTAAAGAAACTAACAACTCTTAAGAAATTCAGAATTCAGGCTGGAGAGATGGCTCAGTGGTTAAGAGCACTAGCTACTCTTCCAGAGGACCCAGGTTCAATTTACAGCCTCCACATGGCAGCTCATAACTCTCTAACTCCAGTTACAGAGGATCCAACATCTCTCTTCTGATATCCACAGGTACCAGGCATGCACAAACAGACTGGAAGACAAAACACCCATATGGATAAAATGAAAATTTTAAAAAATTGGAACTTGGAGTGGTGGTATACAGCTTTAATCCGAGCATTCTGGAGAAAGGGAAGAAGAGAGAGCCCTACATGTTCAAGGCCAGCCTAGTCTACACAATGAGTTCCAGGCCAGCCAAGGCAACAAAGTGAAGTACTTCTCACAATCAAAAACAAAAAAAACCAACAGGAGAAAATTAATTTAGAACTCATAGTCTGTCAGTTCTTCACAAGAAAAGGTTTACATATTGTGTGTGTGTGTTATGCAGTGAATGCATGTACATGTATGTGCATGTGATGTGGGATTAACCTCTGTATGCTGTGAATATATTTTATTATCATTGGTTAAAAAAGAGGCTGCTTTGGCCTCTGGCAGGGCACAATATTGCAAGGCAGGAAATCCACACAGGGATAGAGGGGGAAAGAAGGCGGAGTCAGGGAGACACCATGTAGCCATCCAAGAAGCAAGATGTAAGGTTAACAAACCACGAGTCTCATGATAAAAAAATAACAGAAACGGCTAATTTAAGATACAAGAGTTAATTAGAAATATGCCTGAGCCATTAGGCAAACGGTGTTGTAATTAATATAGTTTTTTCGGTCTGGGTGGCCAGGAAACAGAAGCACACTCTCTGTTTACACACATGCATGTGTGGAGTGGCCAGAGGTTGATGTCAGGGAGACACATCTTCCTTTGTTGCTTTCCACCTTATTTTTTTAAGACAGACCCTCTCATCAAACCTGGAGCTTGCCACACTGGCTAGACTGCACCAGCAACAAGCCCCAAGAATCCCTACGTCCACATTGGTGGTGCCCGAGTCCAGATGTGCACTGCCACACCTTGATTTTTTACAAGGATGCTGGGGGTCCAAACTTAGATCCTCATGCTTGTGTAGTGAGCTCTTTATCTGAGTAGTCCCCAGCCCCAAGGCCTGTATTTTTTTTACTGGTATTTCATATGGTGTTAAATGACATCACTTAGATCCTTACTTCTGCTTCCTCTTACTTTCATGAAGACCATGACAGAAAGCAACCCAGGGAGGAAAGGGTTCATCTGGCTTACAGCTTCTAGTTCACTATGCAGGGAAGTCAGGGCAACTCGAGGCAGGAACCTGGAAGAAGAAACGGAAGCAGAGCCCACGCTCTGTTGACTGGCTTGCTCAGCCTGCTTTCTTATACAAGCCAGAAGCACTTCAAGGGTGGCACTACCCACAGCGGCCAGGCCATCCCACATCAATAAATAATCAAGAAAATGTCCTACAGAATTGCCTACAGGCCATTTTTTTTTCAGCTGAAGATTCAGCTTCCCAGGTGAGTCTGGCACGTGTCAAGCTGACAAGAAATACCACAAGTGCTGTCCATGACCTCACCTGTGAGCTTATCACGTGAAGATCCACTCCTGCTGATCCAGAATGCGCAGCTTAAAAAGATCCCATAATCCCCATACTCTCTTTAAAAGTGGAGAAAATCCACTGCAGATTTTACAGTTTCTGTGTAGCAAATGTATTATTCTCATTCTTTCAAATCTGCAAGTTTTTATCTACTAGATAACTTCATCAGGTAACAGAGAAGAAAACAGGCATACACTATAAAACTCACTTTACTAAAATTTGTTTCCTTTATGCATATGAACATCTGTGCAGGAGGGTGTGCATGGCTGTGTGGCTGCCTGTGCCTGTGTGTGTTGTGTACAGGCAGGTGGAGGTCAGAGGGTACTCTTAGATCTCATCTCCGGGAGTGCTTTCTTTGAAGTCAGCAAATAAAGTAGACTGTCAGCAAGCCCCAGGATTCCTCTTGGGTTCCCTAGGCTGGGATGACAGGAATGAGCTACCATTCCAGGTATTTTTATATGGGTTCTAGGGCCGAAACTCAAGCCTTCTGGTTTATAGGACCAGAGTTTTATCAACTGATTGAGCTCTCCAGAGCCAACAACCCCTTTCTGAATATTTATTCACGTGAAACTCTCATAGTGGTTGCTTTCAGAGTCAAAGTCTGGGCTGAGACTGTAGCTCAGAGGTAGAACATTGGATGTGTGAGGACCCAGATTTAATCTGCAGCACTGGGAGAAGTCAAACCACAAGCGGAAAAGAGGCTGGACAGGGAAGATAACTACTTATTAGCACATTACTGTGAAATGTCAAAGATAAGAGCTCACCTCTTTAACTTTGGCCGCTGGGATGTTGACTGTACCGTGGGATTTGAAAAGCCTGTGCTCTTACTAGCTGGGATGGCATTTTTTTTGGCATTGACAACCTGAGTAGAGTGGGCACTGAAGGACTTGGGACTCTTCCTCTTCACTTTCCGCTCTTCCATTGCTTCAAGTTCTTTGTTGCATCAAGAGCAGCTTCATAAGACCTAAATAAGGAACTATAGTGATGACAGCCATACGCTATAATATGTAAAGAGGGAGACAAAGGCACATTCCACAGACCTAAAGAGCAAGAATGTCAAGTCATTAAGTTAGAACAAGGAATCCCTTGTCTAATCTACTTTGTTAGTATACGTAAAGATCTTTATCAAAATTGTCTAATAATCTTTTTTAACATTTTCTCTATTCACACATCCGAGCATCTGCTGATTCTCCTCCACAAGCCAGACACTGCTGTCAGTCCTGGGGAAACAATAATGAATAAGACAAAGCCCTTAATGTCAAGAAGTCACTGAGACATAAGGTGGCCAGTATAAGCAAATCACCCATGCAAACCTGCAGCCTCACTGAAGCTTTAGCTGGCCTGTCAATCTCCCTTCCAAACCAGACTCAAACAGATGCCTATCAGGGCATCAGAAGTCTACACTGATGCAACTTTAAGGCTTATGTCATGTACACTAGATTGGTATACTATGCACCACTGTAGAGTTTTTGCCAGCCTTGCTCTGTACGGTAGGCTGGCCTGGAACTCCCAGAGATCCACCTGTCTCTGTCTTCTGAGTGACCGGATTAAAGGCATCAAAAGTGTGCACCACCTCACCTTTTCTTTTTGAGGAAAAGTTTTGCTCTATGTTTCTGGTTGGTTGAGAAATTACTATGTAAGCCATGCTAGCCTCCAGCTTGTGATGACGCTCCCCCTCTGTTCCCAAATGCTGGAATGATGGGCATATGTCACGAGACTGGCTGTTTAGATTGTAATTTTTCTTAATTCTATTATTAATGGATCACAAAGTTGTCAGAAACATGTATATCTATTCATTCCTTCAAATTGTTAATTGCATTATGAATATCAGGTCTTAAAAAGATATACCGTCTGGCTTGAGACAGCCCAGCAGTTAGGAGCCATTGGCTGCTCTTCCAAAGGACTCATTCGATTTCCATGACCAACAACGTGGCTTTCAACAGTCTGTAACTTCAATTCCAAGCTATCCAGTGCCCTCTTCTGGCCTCCAGGGGCACTGTATGCAAACGGTGCATAGACAACCAATCAGGCAAAACATTCATACACAGCCATTAAATTTAACATTTAAAAGTGTTTAATTCAATCCTGCCACGACTATTTTAAAATTCAGAAACCGTCTTGGTAATTAAAAAGACAATGTTGGATTTTTGTTTCTTGTTTTTGTTTTGCTATCTAATAGACGGCTTTCTTGGGAAAGGGCCCAACATCCAGTCTCTAATCTCAGATACCAATAGTGAATCCACTTGAATTAGTTGCTAATTGTTTAATATGTAATACAGATTAAACAGAAATTTAAAGATGACAAAGCGGGCCTCCAAGAGGTGAGGCTCTGTATAATTCATGATACGTACAAACACGCTAACCATCAAACCTAAGGATGCTAACACACATTTGGTGATAGGGGAAAAAATAGTTAACACGTAAAGCATCGCAAATAAACCAATGGTCTCCCAGAGAGCAAGCTTGAGATTTACTCAATTCTGGAGGATAACATCTGTCCCAAGACCTGAAATCCTAGGCAAGCACTAGGGACCGTTCTAAAGAGGGCTCATGGTTGAATGTTAAACCTTGCTTTTAACCAGGACCACCGGGGCGGCCTGTGGTCTGCCTTTATTTCCCTTCCGCAACCCACCGCAGTGATGACCAATCAATCCCCAGCAGTGACCAGAGCGGGTGCTGAAGGGCCCGAAGGAACAGGTTGCGGGAGTTCCCGCATCCCATTACATACCATAGGAAGAGGCTATGGTCCTTTTCCTCAACTGGAAAAGGTCAGAGAGCGTCCAAAGCCTCGGCTACAGCTGCAGCAAGTGTCCAGGTCACCCAGCTTGGGACCCGCGCCTCCGCAGCGCACTTTGTTTACGGAAGTGATGTAATCGGTGCGGAGCCCTCTGTGATGCGGAAGCCACGCCCCTTCCGGGTCCCTTAGCCATGCTCGCATCCCCGTCTCGGGCTCAGTGCGCCCATAGCCGCTTTCAGGTACGGCTCCAGCGGCCACGGGAAACAGAAGTTATTTCTGGCCACGCCAAGTCTGCCCCTGCGACGGCCTCGAATTGGCAGTATAGTGTCCTCATCGGAAACGGCTAGCCACCACGGTGAATGACCGCCCCCCCCCCCCCGTTTACTGCAATTCCCAGCATGCCGTTCGAGCACACCTGAAGGCGGAGCCTATTGTCACCCTAGCAGCGGATCCACGCCTCGGATTGGTTACCTTGTGTGTGGCCTGAAAAGCGTAGACAGATGTGCCGCCTCCAAGTGGGAGTCAGTGAATAGCCAGGTCTTTCGGGGTACTTGGGTTTGTTTATGTTGTCTGTGTCTCTGAGTTTTCTCTTTGACAGGGTCTCGTTCGGCCGAGACTGCTCTAGAACTGGTTGGGCTGCTGAGATGGCCTTGAACCCCTGATTGTCCTGCCAACACTTCTTAAGTGCTAAGATTATCTCACTACAGTCCTTTGAGATAGCTGGCATAATCCCCGTTTTAGAAATGAATCTGAGATTCAAAAAGGCTAATAAACCATGTTGTCTGACTCTTCTTCATCCCTGGGAGAAAGAATCGAGGTTTGCGAGAGTGTCATGAAGGAGCTCTAGGCAGTCAGACCATGGCAAAGATGCCTCTGACAGTCCTTAACCTTCTCATCCATCCCCTCTGCCTTGCTAAAAAACCATCAGATTACATTCCTATAGCTAGCCACCCAGGTCTATTCCCTTATTTGATCACTTCTTCCTCCTGAAGCTGACTACCGAGGTCCAAATATCAAAATATTGAAGTCCAGCAATCAAAAGCCCCCTTTGGCTGCCCTAATTAACATGCCAAATCAAAATTAAGCACCTCATCCTAACATGGTGTGTCCGCTTTCACCTTTATAAACTGTCATTGCCTATGGGCCTCTCAATCCAAATGTAGTTCTTTGTCCCTCCCCAACAAATACCCCCCTCCCTATTCCTCTTTCCTTCTCTGTCATCCTCTGTCTCCCATCTGTGTTTCTTATTCCCCTGCACTTTGTCCTTCTGGGGCAAATTAATCACCTTTGTGCTGAGAACTTGGTCTTTTGGTGTCATGTGCTGAATACGGTTCTTTCAGCTCAGTCCTCGACTAGAGAAAAAAACCAGTCTTTCTTTCCCTGGTGTGGGTTGCCGTCTTGAACTGAAATCTGGAGATGGGAAATTTTAGATTCCTAGCCTCTTAGATTGAAGTAGCTCTGCCCTAATTACCTAAAGAGGAAATGTGTCGAGAGGGTGTCAGTGCTAGAGAGGCAAGGCAAAGACGTATTTACTAAGTCCCTAGGTTCCTACTATGAGATGTTCTTCCATTAGAAAACAAACAAAATAAAACCGGAATTATTTTTTAACACAGACAAAACATTCATGATCCTGCTTTCCAAGGTGAACACATGTTATAGTTGTTTGATTTGGTATTTTAGGTTAAAGAACTAGCAAATTCAGAAAAGGTGGATTCCTCATCCCCCTTGGTTAACTCCCTTCTCACAGACCACCAGGGTCACTAGGAAATAGATCTTGATAACTGATGATTAATGTGCTAGTCTTTTTTCCCAAGATCTTTGCTGACAGAGGGGAAAGAAGAAAGACATGGATCACTGACAATTTGTGACTAAATGAGAAGATCCGATCTTCACTGTAGCCTGGCAGCAGTGGTCAAGATGACCTAAAGCAATATCTGCTTTAGAACAGAAGATAGATCTAAACTGGTGTAGGAGGTCCTTCTGTATTTCTGTTGCTTTCATTGGCTAAAGAGACTGCCTTGGCCTTTTGATAGGGCAGCCCTTAGATAGGCGGAGTAGAACAGAATGCTGGGAGAAAGGAAGCAGAGACAGAGAGCCGCCCGCCATGAAACTGCCAGGTCAGACATGCTGAATCTTTCCTGGTAAGCCACAAGCTCGTGGTGACATACAGATTATTAAAAATAGGTTGAATCAAGGTGTGAGAGTTATCCAATAAGAGGCTAGAATTAATGGGCCAGGCAGTGTTTAAATTGATACAGTTTCTGTGTAATTATTTCAGGGACTAAGCTAGCCAGGCAGTGGGGAGCTGGGCAGCGGGAAGTGGCCGCCACTTCCTTTTACTACACTAAATTCTAGAAGTATTTAGCTTTTCTTTGCCTCTAGAATCCACCTGAGACCTGTGGCATTTGAGTTTACAGCCTGTGATATAATTTAGGAATGCTGAAAAATGCCCTTCTGAATGTATGTAAGAAAATCCACTATGGGGACTCAGGCTTATCATCCCAGCCCTGAGAAGGTAGAAGCAGGAGAAACCTGGGCTACATGAAACTCTGTCTCCACGTAAGTAAATAAATGCCTTGCATTGGAAGTATTCACATTTTGAATGTCTGTCCTGAGTCTCTCCAATGACTTAAAGATGTATTACAAGAGTCCTTGTCTCAAATATTCTGTCACTTCCCAATACATCCCTATATGGGGAACCAAGCCTTTATAGGAGACTGGGGGATATTAAAGTTCCAACCTCACATTTTTCCTTCTCCACTATATTATCAAATATCCCACATATAACTTAATCCAGAGTGCAAAAATATCCAACCATAATTAAATTTCCATTAACCTCAGGAAATGTAATGAATTAATAAAGTTCTTTAATTTATTTCTGAAAATAAAGTGATTAAAGCAGTGTGTTTCGTTCTCTCCCCGACTCCATATTTATGATGGTCTTACATAGCCTTGGCATAAGGAACTCACCTAGTAACCAAGCCTGGCCTTAAACTCACTACAGTCCTCCTGCCTCAGCTTCCTGAGTGCTGGAGTTACAGGTATGAAACCGTTTTGTGGAATATTAGTTCAAATATGCAAAGATGTGCTGAGTTTGCTTAACTATGTAAAGATGTGTTGTGTTTCTTTACCTTGCCTCTGTCGGACACCTGGTTAGTCTAATAAAAAGTTAAACAGCCAATAGGTAGGAGGTGAAGGCAGGACTTCCAAGCAGAGAAAGTGAGAAGGGGAATCAAATTTGGGGAGAGAGAGAGAGAGAGAGAGAGAGAGAGAGAGAGAGAGAGAGAGAGACAAAAGAGACACAGGGAGATGCCAGCCAAATAGACATGGAAGAAGCAGGAAAGCAGGACAAAAAGAATGAAAGAAAGGTAAGGCAAGAGGCCCCAGGGCAAAATGTAGCTGAATAGATGAATAGAAACAGGTTAAGTTTAGTTATAAGGGCTAGTGGGACAAACACAATCTAAAGGCGGAGCTTTCATAACAGGTCTCCATGTCTTTATTTGGGAGGTAGTTGGCAGCCCAAAGAAAATGCCAACCATAGAATCATTCTTAGCTCTTTTTGGCTATAGAATGTTTTATGGATTTGCTCTAGAGTGTTGTTTTTCATTAAATTCAAGTAGGTGCCCCTTAAGAAACTGCTGTCCTAATCGGCAATTGCAACTCCACAGCTACCAGTAGCAGTTAGATCACATTGGCCGTAGCCAGACGGGAATTCTGTTCCCTGGGGCACTGATTATCACAGCCACTAAAGAAACTTTGTCTAGATCTCTATTCCTCCATAGAACTCAGGAATCAGAGGTTGAGGTGAAATTCTGCTTGCTCAGAAAAACTGAATAGCTAGTGGCTAACCCTCTCTCCCAAAAAGCAGCTCATAGGCCTTCTGCTTAGCCCTGACTTAAGAACCCTAACTACACATAGCTCCTCCCACTTCCTGTCAGCTAGCTGCTGTCTCAACCTCATGATCCCAGGCTAATTTTATTTGATCAAACAAATGTAACATGTCTTAAATTAATATTCCACAACAGACCAGGCTGACTTTAAATGTGTAATCCTCCTGCCTCAGTCTACCCAAATGCTAAAACCACAGTTGCACTACATCACATCTGGCTAAGCTTCCCTTTGAAACTGCAACATCTGGAGGAGTTGGCCCAGCCACAGCACTGACCGGATGGCATCACCAGTGTCCCGGCAGGCGCTCCTTCCTCAGCAGAGCATCTGGGGCTCTGCTATACTTGTCTTTCTCCAAGAGGTCTGACAAAGGATCTGATTACCCAGCCTTTGGAGTTCTGACGCCTTCTTGTTAAAAACAATAAAGCTTATTGTTTGGGTCTTATGGTTCTACAAAGTTAACGTTTTCAATGCGTTTTTGCACTTCAACTCTACACTTCTCTTTTAAAGCTAAAGTAGTTAGCTAGATTAGGAGATAGGTGTCAGAACGAGCTGAGGAAGTTTAGATCCACCGAGAATCTTCTCCAAGATGCTGTCATCAGAACAGCAGAAAGCAAAGCACAGTGGGATGGGGTCAGAAGTTGGCTACACTGTATCACAACCTTCAGTTTTCTCTCCTTAGAGTTAGAGAGTTTACCAGGTAGTCCTACAAGGATGCTGGAAACACTTTGAAGGAATGTCTTACAAAGTAACACAAAGTAAAAGGAGGAATGTCTTACTTTTCTGTAGCTGTGAAGCTACCATGACCATAGCCTATAAGCTACACTAATGAACCACGCATGCTCACACATGTGCATGTACCTGTGTGCACGTGCGCACACACACATATAAATGATATATAATGTATATGATGAGGGGGGTGTGAATATGTGTGTTCTATCAGCTATTCCTTGGAGAACGCTGACATGAAGGGTGAGGGAGGACAGGACAGGAAAAGAAGAAGACAAGTAAAAGAAGGAGCCTATTTATACCTGTTAGATAACGCTACTCTACCGCCTCTGCATCAGTTCCTGCTACCAGTTTCCCACCTTGAGTTCCTGCCTTGACTTCTCTCAGCGATGGACTATGACTGGGATGTGTCAGCTCAATAAACCCATTTCTCTCCAAAGTGCTTTTGACCAGTGTCTTATAACAGCAAACCAGCACAGTTGGGGAAATAGAGGCAAAAGAAAAGAGATGACCTACTGTGTGCTCATAACGAATGGTGACAACTA